GTGACAGTGGCAATCATGATCATTCATGAAGACATGATCAGCTGCCTTGCGCAGTCCTGATTTTCTTCGTCGCATCGCTTCACCCGACCGCATCAGCCCCCCGCGCACGTTTACTGCTGTGTCGGTGATATTCCTGCTGCGTGGCTATGGGTTTTAGGCCAAACTAGACGCGGTTCTGTGAGATGGTCGGAAAAGACTGATGAAGCAACGCGTTCATATTGCTGGTGTTGCTGCAGGCGGGGTAGAACACATCAGAGGCGAGGGATGATTTCTGGCGTTTTTCGTGGGGCATAGTTGTTTCGACCAGTTTGGGACCTGCATGAGCACCCCCTTGGCCTGCTTGCACATGGTTGTTGTCCCGGACAGACACGCCCACGTCCTGATCCAGACCAGGTAGCAGGACGTAAATACACCAGAAAGTCGTGGACCTTCCTCTCCTCGACACGGCACTCGTATGCACTCGAGCTGCACGCTGCCCAGGTGCAACGTGCAACATGTTTCAACCAACTTGTTCAGAGACAGTGTCATGGTTCCTATCGCATGTCCCTAGACAACGATTAAGTTGGGAACTTAGGGTTAGTAACTAAATTTGGGTTGGTCCCGGACAGGCCTAAATTTTGGTCGCCCGCGAATGTGTAGTCTCAATTGGTTCCGCATCACATTGGAATCCGCGACGTTGAAGAAAGCTCGGCGTTTGCACGCGTAATCTGGCGTGGTTCTTGAAGGTTCGGTTCGGAGTTGTCTCGGTGGCTCTGGGGGCTATCATGCTGTGTATGACTCCAAAGTTGAAAACGAGTTGTCGATTTCATATGAGCAGGCGGCATGAGACGAGTCTCCCTATTTTCGTGGGCACGCTCTTGACTTTCCACGTTATGCCAGATAGCTGTCACACGAGGCATGGAAGACATTTGGGAAAACAGCTCGGCTTCCTTCCACGACCGCGAGACGCATCTTCGAAAGAGGCCGCGTCGCGGATTGACGCATGACGTATCATGTTGCTCATCTCGAGAGCCATGGCCAAGGATGGGAACTTTCCGCGGGTCATCGTAGCTTGCACTGCAAAAAGTTTCCGCAGCAAGAACTTATTACAATATTAGCACATTACAATTTTTGTAGTATAATTCAACTATGTTGCTTGTTCCTTTGAAGATCTCATGGGATGCTCCCGGCAGGCACTTTCCGATTCCCGGGCCGCCGAAAGATAGGTCGCTGACTCTGCTGGAAGACCCAACAGGCAGTGGGCTCGCCGAAAAAACTAAATCTTGAGAGCTGAAGATCACTGTTGTTTGAGAGTCGGGCATATTCAAGTGCTCTTGCAAGTGCAGTGGCGCCACAGCAGCAGTCATGAACGCAGGAAGGGCAGGTGGGTTCGCCAAATCTGCCCAGTGTGATGAACAGGGCTCCTCTTGACTGCGCGGTTAGTGGGGTTTGCATCAGAGTTGCTAAGCAGTTGCTGTGCAGTTGCTGTTGCAGGCCGCTTCGCTGTGGGAACAACTGGAGCCGTGCTGTGGCCGGCTGCAACAGCCCTAATCGAGCACTTGGACGCGCAGGCCTGGCCCCGAAACCGTGACTGCACAACCTGATGGGTTGTCCCCAGAACAAGGATTGCAGCAACCATTGCCAGCCAGTGCAGGGTAAGTTGTCATGATTGTCTCTGATGGTACGACGACAGTCGACCTTATCTGAAAACATGAACTGCTATCGTACGTGAATTCGACACCGAGACGTTCGACAATAATAGCCCCTTGCGCATGTTGTCGCATGATCCTGCCTCTGTCGTCGTACCACCTCAGCTCTGTAAGCTTGGTGCCGTCCCGAGTAGATGTAAACTGCATGCTTTAATGACCTACAGCTCGGAGAAGCATTCCAGAAATCCCAGAGTTCTCTTCAGCAGCCTCAAGCAAGTGATATTCTTGTTGGCTCAGCACGAGCAGCCGCTTGCCCTGTAGCGCCCCGCAACCTGCATCATGCTTTCTACTGCCCCTACCCCAAAACTCTAAGTAAACCCTTAACCCTATACCTTGCAAACCCTAGCGAAGTGCCAAGTAAAGCCTCAACCCTCAACTTGAGAAGCCCGAAGTAGTTCGTAGTTCTCTCAAGACCCTAATCCTGGACCCTATAGGTGACAAAGTCCTGCCTCAACTTCCGCTGCGTGGAGTTGGGTGCCGGGGTGGGTGCTGTGGGCGCCCTGGTGTGCTTTCGGAAGTTTTGTTCAGGTCTTAGGGTTACGGGTTCAAGATTTCCGGTCTCGGGTTTATCGGACTAAAGGCCACCCCAGGCCCCGTGACCTCCCTAAACAATAAACTCTGAACCCTAAACCCTAAACTGCCTAATTTCCCTGAACCGAAAACCCTGAATTCCCTAAAAGCGCACCACTCGAAAAACGAACCCTGAACCCTAAACCCTAAACCCTAAACATCCTTAAATTCACTCCAGCCCAGGACTGTTCATGGCCCTGCACAAGGGTTGCGAGGTCACCCTCACCGAGGCACTGCGGGGTTTAGGGTTTTGGGTTTAGGGTTTAGGGTTTAGGGTTTAGGGTCAGAAGTCAACAGCGTTTCTAAGCCCTTTGCCCATACTCCTCGCCATCCACCTGCCTACCAGATTGCTTGGGTTCTGTGTGGGGGGGCTCGCATAGTTCCCCCCAAAGAGGTGGTTTGGGGCTGAAGCTGTGGGACCCTAAACAGAGTTTTTAACGCTCCCTAGGTTTCGAGTTCAGAGTTTATGTTTGAAGGGATTAAACCTCTCAAAGCCCTCAATCTCCCAAGCCCCTAAAGCCACGAAACCTAGACCCCGACTGTGGGGGTTCCCGACTTTTGCTTGATACGGTTTGGGGTTTGGGGCTCATTTGGTTCATGGGTTTAGGATGTGGGTGTCTGGGGCAAAATGCCAAACCCTAAATCAAGCCCCAAACCCCCAAAACCCGACCCAAGCCCCGTAAAGCCTTGCATCCGAAGCCCTTCAGACACTCATCCAAACCCTTTCGCCACAGGTACAAATCTCGATAAGAAGCCATCTAGATGGCTCCATGAATCATGCAGCAACCCCTCAAAACCAGCATTAAGAGTTTTCTACCATCCTCTTAGACCCCTTAAACCCTAAACCCTAAACCCTAAACCCTAAACCCTAAACCCTAAACCCTAAACCCTAAACCCTAAACCCCAATCAGCAGGTGCCCGAGCAGCTCCAGCTCCTGGGACGGAACGTTGCCGAGAACTCCCCCACCGGCCTGGACCTGCAGGCGACTTTGGGGCTCTAGGGTTTTTTGGTGGGTTTAGGGTTTAGGGTTTAGGGTTTAGGGTTTAGGGTTTAGGGTTTAGGGTTCAGGGTTCAGGGTTTAGGGTTTAGGGTTTAGGGTTTTTGGGGGTTCAGGGTTTGGGGAGGGCTAAGAGTTTAGGCCTTTAGGGGTTTACGGTTGTTTTTGTTGTTTTCTGACCTCAGGCTTCCAGAGCTCCGGGCTTGAGGGCTTCGTGTTTGGGGATTTTTAAGGGTTCAGGGTTTAGGGTTTAGGGTTTAGGGTTTAGGGTTTAGGGTTTAGGGTTTGGGTTTAGAGTTCAGGTACATCGGGGTTGTTTTTTTTGTTTTATTTTTTTTTCTGGGGGGGAGCTTTGGATGAATGTGTGTGTGTATCCGGGAGAGTCATTCACTTCCTGGCTTATAGCAGAAGGGAATGGAAATGTATGACCGAGACCCCTAAGCCCTAGACCCCTCAACCTTATAAGCTTTAAACCCCAGACCCGAAACCCCAAACTGAACCCCAAACCCTAGACCCCAAACCCTACACCCAAACAGAATCCACACTCCTGCACGCCAAGCCTTCTCAACCTTAGACTCTAGCCCCAAACCCTTAATTCAAAAACCGAAATCCTGCAACCACTCTCAACCCCAAACCCCAAGCACTAAGCATGTTTCCCCAATTCCCTACAGGTCGAAGCCTCAGGGCTTTAGGGTTTAGGGCTTAGGGTGTAGGGTTTAGGGCTTAGGGGATACGACCTGGCAGGTCGCACCCCTGACTTGGGGAGACAAAGAGCAGATGGAGGTTCTGGGCCCCTCGGGCGGCACCATCGTGGCCTTGGGGTCTCGGGCCTGGGGTTTGGGAACTTAGGGTTTAGGGTTTGGGGTTTAGGGTCTAGGTTTAGGGTTTAGGGGGAATTTAGGGTTTGTAAGGTATATGTCGGGTCTGTGGGGTTTGTTGGGTGTCTAGGTTCTAGGTTTTCGGGCTGAGTCGACAGAGCTCAGAGGGGTCTGAGTTCGCAGGGTTGGGGGTTGAGGGCTTATCGGCTTGAGGGCTGAGGGCTGTCGGTGACAGCTTCTATACCCCGAAACAAAGCACAACTATCGGGACCTCGCCATACCCCCCCCCCCCCCACTACAAACAACATCCAGACAAGCCCTGGAAGCCTGAATCCCAAAAATCACAAAGCCCTGAGTCCCAGAACCCGCCGAAACCCCTTTTTTAAACCCCTTACAAACCAAAACAAAGCGCCCCTCCCCCCCCCCGCCCCCACAAGGAAAAACACTAACTAAAGCTCCTAAACCCTGAACGCCTAAAGAGCCCTAAGCCCCGAAACAAAACCCAAGCCCGAAAGCCACTAAGCTGCCAGGCACATTCGAGATGGTCTTGGGTAGTGATGTCACCTACCGCCCGCAGTGTATGGGCCTGGCACCCAGTCGGGCTTTGCTTTTGGGTACGGTTCCAGTTCTAAACACTTTAGGTTCCACGAAGAAGCCTACTGGGTTTAGGGTTTAGGGGTTTAGGGTTTAGGGTTTAGCCAGCGTAGTTTCAACTTGGGCCAGGATACCACCATGGCCCGATGGTTACGGGGATATGACTTGGCAAGCCCACTGCGACCGCAGGCATATCACAGCCGTAGGAGAACGATCCTTTGTTGCGTGTGGCGCTCGTATTGCCCAGGAAGTTCGTCAACCCCACGGCGCTTGATAAACTGCAGCAGGTTGCAGCTTGCTGATGTAGGAGAAGACGTGTGTGTGTGTGTGTGATGTGGAAAGGTGGTCGTGGGAAGGGGAGGGAGCCATGCCGTTTTTGGGCATCAGGTTCTTGTATGCGAGGAGACAGCTGCTGGTACTCTCACGAGAGCACGGATGCTACGGCTCCGGCATTCGCCGGCAAGGGAAAGAGCGGCAAGGGAAGCACGCATAGAGAGCAAGGCTACAAAGGCGCGCAGACGTTCGCCAAAGGCAAAGGAAATGCCAAAGGCAAGAAGGGCAAGAAAGGCAAGCGCGGAGGTCCGGCCTTTGAGCCGATGATTTTCATGAACTCCGTACGCGACCACCCCGATGAGCTCTATTCGGCAGCAAGGGCTGCAAAGCATAGTGGGGACACTCCCCTTGCAATCGAACTCCTCTTCATGGCCATTCAGATCGATGCTACGATGGGCCCTGAGTTTTCCAGCCGCAGCACAAGCAGGCGCGCCAGCAGGGATCTTGAGAAGTGGGCTCTCACAAGCGAGAAAGAAGTAGAGAAGAGCCTTGTCATCTTCGAGCGTGTCAACCGACGACTCGGCTTATCGCTGGAGAGTGGGAGCGAGGCTGGCTTCAGTGATGACCTTGATGACCTTGATGACCTCTTTGGACCTAACTACGACGAAGATGAAGATGAGGAGGTTGTTTTCCTAAGGCCTGACGGCACCACTGAGTCAAAGACTGTATCATGGTGCTTGGGTAACGACTTCTTCGAAGTTCGGCCAGGAGTCTGGTCAGGACCCTGGTACGACGCTAGTCATCAAGGGGCACCCTGTGGTGCAAATCGAGAACACGACGATGAGAGCGAGCCAGATGCATGCGATGAGTCAGACTTGTACGTCCGAGCAGAGCTGATGGAAGCCCGACACAAGACACAGCAGATGCAACTAGGACTGACGCCCGCACACACAGAAGCCATTTTCAACGACAGCTACGTGGAGCTCGAATCCCAACTGCAATTGATGCAGGCGCGCGAGTATGCCGAGAAGCGGCGATCGCACAGCCAGAAGAAGTTGCGGTTGCTTCGGGATGTGGTGGCTAAAGGCGTCAAGGGCTTGGACGAAGGAGACCTCCATGTCCATGAAGAGGTACTGAAAGTCTTGCTTGCTGATTTCAAGGAAGATGCCGATGCCCTCCTGGTTGCCAATGCATCCTGCAACTCGGGTTCGGTAGAGCGAGGCAGTGCCATAGACTATGTGCATCGCATGCTCAGCCTGCACGCGCGTCTGCACCAGCGCCTTCTCACTGACGTCCTGGACCTGGTCGGGTACTGGTGCGATGTGCCATTCTGCCGTACGCTTTTGGTGCGGCAAGGTCTTTTGCAACTGCTTGGTGGAGTTCTGGACAGATGGCCCGTTTGCGATGAGAATTCTGCCGGAATCCGGTTGAAAGCGCTGGAGGCCCTGCCACAGGTGATTGTCGATCGAGATTCCCACACTCAAGCAGTGTCCGCAGAAGGTGTGGCACTGTTGCGAGGACTTGCGGACTCTGCATGCCACGCAGAGCAGCCACTGCATCAGTTCTATGCACTTTCAATTGCAGCCAATGGCCTCGGAAATCCAGGAACAGGCCTTGCACGTGCACTCCTCAAGCAAGGATTGCTGGGCCCTGCCATCCTCTTAGAGCACGCAGGTGGTCGCTGCACAGTACATGGCTCCAAGCGCAGCATTCGGGATGCCGCCCATCACTTCATTAGCTCTATGAGCATGCGTCTTGGCACAGAGACGATCCCCATCGTCAGGAAGTCCTTGCAAGGCCTCCTCACCAAGGGCAAGCCGTGGAACGCGGCAGATGAGGAACGATGGCGCAGATCATCCTCTGGAAACCAAGCAGCTGATTGCAGCCTGCAGTAGGTGGTACAGTGTTGCACAAGTTCAGCACTCCTTTAAGATTGGCGGTGGACTTGATAGTGCTGCCACCTGTCGGTGTGGCAGAGCCATTGGTTTGCATAAAGAAGGCTGGGAAATGGAGCACCTTGATGGTGCTTTTTGAATTGGGTGGTTTGCATGCGGATTAGGGGGCAAAGTGGAGGTGCTCAGCAGACGGGCTGTGAGATATGTAATGATGTGAAGCAGGCGTCTCTTGAGAGGGAGAGAAGGAGCTTGCGAACCCAGAGGAAACTATCGGGGCACTTGCGGTTCTCCAAAGTCTTGCAAATGAGCTTGGAACTTACTTTCAGCCCTTTAAGACCTAAACCCAGCAGAGGGTTTTGAGGGTTTGCAGCCGGTGTTTCAGGCGACCTTCTCTCGACAGCTGAGCGCCTCCTTGCGCCGGGTGGAAGGCCTTCGGGTTTAGGTCTTAGGCTTTCGGGTTTGGGTGGGGTAGGCCTGTAGTAGTTGGGGTTTTTGGGATTGTGTTTTGAAGTTTCGGAAGCCCATGGAAGTCTTAGGAAGAGCAAGGGCGGGCTCGACTGTAGGACATCGCTTGGGGACAGTGCTGTGCTTGTGGGCACTATGGGAGACCATTCCCAGCACATGGTTGTTCGAAGTTCGGGCGCATGCAAAGAGTGCCCTCATATTCACTTCTGCCATCTCGGAAATATGACACTACCTTGAAGCTGCTGCGGATTGCCATCGCGATCCCCAGAGATCCTGGAACCCCAAATCCCGTAAACGCTGGTGGCCCGAGTTACCTAAACTCCAGCTACCCCTAAGCCCTAAACCCTGAACCCTCAACCCTAAACCCTAAACCGCAAACCACAATCCCTAAACCCTATAAACCCTAAACCCTAAACCCTAAACCCTAAACCCTAAACCCCAAACCCACCCCTTGGACATCCTGCCTGGAAGGGTGGTCTTGAGCCTCCAGGATCGACCAGGCCCGGAGAGACGAGAACCCGAGGGTTTAGGGTTTAGGGTTTGGGGTTTAGGGTTTGGGGTTTAGGGTTTGGGGTTTAGGGTTTGGGGTTTGGAGTTTCGGGTTTCGGGCTTAGGGTTTGGGATTTAGGGTTTGGGGTTTAGGATTTAGGGTTTAGGGTTTGGGGTTTTAGGGTTTCGGGCTTAATTAGGGGTCGCAAACCCATTCTACACCTTGTTTGTGGATTTGCCGCGTTCAAGGGACAATCAGCAGTTCAAAAGAATCTTGAAATAGTGAACGCTGAACTGGACATGAACAGGCGAAACTATCAAGAATTGGCAAGATCTGGGTGGGGTGGGGTCTTTTAGAGCACGGCCCATCCCTCTAGACAGAAGCTACCTACGAGGGGGCCCTAGCCAAGAGCAACTTCTCATATTCATCTTACAGGTGGGAAGCTGCCAGGTGTGCACACTGCCCCTCCCCCGCCACTCCCCCCCCTCCCCCACCCCCCCAAAAAAAAACAAAAGAGGGGAAAAGTAAACCTTGAAACCCAAAACCTCAAGTCCTGAACCCCAGACCCGACCCCCAAGCTGAACTCGTAAATCCACCACCCTGAAACCGAAAGCCCCAAACCCTAAATCCCTGAAGGCCTAAAGCCCTAAACAAAGCCCAAAGCCTGACATGAAAAGGTGAGGCAGACCTTTTGGAGTCTTCGTTGAAGAGCTTGGCCGTGGCGCAGCGGTGCAGCGTGATGGCGAAGAGCCTCGAAGGCTTTGGGCGCAATGAGGTTTTAGAGTTTAGGGTCTCAGGTTTCGTGTATTTTGGGGTTTGGGTTTTAGCTTTTTGGACAGTTTCTACAGCTTCGGGCTCAGGATCGGATTATTGGTTCCGTGGCGTTTGAAACTCTTTTGTGAGCGTTTGATTGGTTAGGGATGTTTTTGGCCTCCCCTCGCCATCGAGTGCCAGAACGGGATGTATGGCATAGGCTAGGGACAAGACAAGCCCTTCACCCCCAGTCCCCAAACCACGCAAGGGTTTAGGATTTAATTAGGGTTTGGGGTTCAGGGTAGGGGTTGAGGGTTTAGGGGTTTAGGGGTTTAGGGGTTTAGGGGTTTAGGGTTTAGGGTTTAGGGTCTAGGAGATACTTGAAATGCCCTGATAACACCTCCACTATGCAAAGTGCCGCTTGGCGCAGGCGAGGAGGACGCGCCCCGGCTCAGTGAAGCTGCCAAGCGTTGGGGTTTAGGGTTTAAAGTTTAGGGTTCAGGGTTTCGCGTTAGGGGTTAGGGGTTAGGGTTTAGGGTTAAGGGGTTAGGGGCTCCCCCTCTTGACCTCTATTTGGGGCTCCGATAGGCTTGTGGAGTTTGGGGGGTACATAAGAGGTACCCTTGAGGACATTTTGTTACTTCATGTTTGGCGAGCTCCGATCTCAACTACCACAAGCTTGATTTTGTGCAGGCTTTGGGGACCTTACGGCAGGCTCTGGGTCGGAGTCGTGGTCTTGAGACTTGCTGCCCGGTCTCTTGTCCTTGGGGCGCATCTAGCTGGCTGTTTTGGAGCTGCCCGTCAGCCCCAACTCCCCTCAGGGTCTTCAGGTCTCGGTCTTCCACGTCCTACTCGAAACCCGACAAAAACCTCTAAATCAGACGGGGGGCGGGGGGGGGGGGTGTCCAGAAGCTTGGTAGTCTGGAGCATCAAAGAAAAATGTTCTCAAACTGCCAGCAAAGAGGCTTAGGGTTTAGGCTTCCGAGATTCCCGAAGCAGTCTAGAACCCTAAGCCCTCAATTCCGTACCCTAAACCCTGCATCCTGACCCCTAACCACTAACCCCTAACCCCCCAAACCCTAAACCCGAAACCCGAAACCCTAAACCCTAAACCCTAACCGTTGCATGGCGCACTAGCCACGAGGTTCCAGTGATCATCTTCGAGCTCCGGCGGCCCACAGAGATGGAGCCGAGGCTTGAAGCCCCGCAGTCGGAGCGTAGCTTCATACATACCATACGTAGATGCATACGCGTATGTGCATCATAATATATATATATATACACATGTATGTATATCTCGGTACTTGTATATGTTTTGTTATAGACATATATATATATAGATTTATATTTATATGTAAAATTAAATTTATGTATTTATTTATGTATGTCTTGCGGGTTTTCCCGCATGTGCATGTCTCTATCTATGTCGATGTCTATGCTTTTGTCCATGCCGTTTGCTCCACAAAATGCACACTTTGCATCTGCTGCCTGTCATCTACGGACATGTTGGCCTCCTTCTTTTCATGATGCCGCAAAAGTAGCCCGATTACTGTCGGAATCTCACAATGGGCTCTGTCTCGCCATGTTGTCGCACGAAGAAGGCTGTAAGCGTCCAATCATGGCCGTTTGGCTCCTATCCGAAGTTCCCAAAGCCGCCTCATCTTCCAACAGCTGGCAGTGCCTGGACCGAATCTTGATGTGCTTGATTCTGTTCATTCTCGCTAGCTTGGAGGGATTACAGCACTTGTGGCCGCGGCAGTGCGCATGCGCTCATGGTTATGCATGGTTCAGCAGTGCATCTCCACTTGCACTGGAGTGGTGATGTTCTGCCGAAATGACTAAGGGCGCCATGCGCCCGCTGCTGCAGCTGGCTCTCGCCACCCAGGCCATTCTCACACGCTTCACTTAGGGAAGCTGTTTAGAGATTCAGGACGTAGGCTGCAGTCGGTGCCGGTCGGCAAGCCTCCCAAAGTTCCTGAAGCAATATGGGCTCCTTTGAACTCCCACAGGTTGCGGCCCTAGGGCCGCTGTGGCCGCTGCCACAGCGCGTGGTGCTGCATAGCTGCATGCAGAGTTAGGCTTTGTGGGGACAAGTTCTTCTGGATAAGGTTAGGCACTTAGGGTTTAGGGTTCTGGGGACAAGGTTTTCTGGCGAAGGGCTTTGATTAGACATTTCAGGTCTGAAGGTGTTATGTTTGGTTGCCAGACTTGTCAGTCCTAAACCACGCAATTGAGACCATGCCAGATTATATGACCCTAAACTCCTAAAGTATGCCCTGAACCCCATAGACCCCCTCAGGCCCTGCTCCCTCTACTTTCTTTCCGGTGTTTCCCTTGTCTTTTGGTTTTGGGCTCCCCTTTCTAACTGGACTCAAAAGGGCTCCTTTGTTTACCTAGCTTGCCGGGACCCCGAAACCTTGCATCATGACCCCTGAACCCTTTCAACCTGTCACCATGAGCCCTTAAACCACCAGAAGCCCTGAACCCTAAACCCAAACCCCAAACCCCAAACCCCAAACCCCAAACCCCAAACCCCAAACCCCAAAACCCTAAACCCTAAACCCTAAAACCCTAAACCCTAAACCCTAAACACCCTCAACCCCAAACTCTTAACCCGAGCCAGGCCCGGGTCTGGGTCAGTTCTGCTGAATCCGGCGACCTACCGCTGCTCGGATCGACCGGTTTAGGGTTTAGGCTGTAGGGTTTAGGGTTCAGGGTTCAGGGTTCAGGGTTTAGGGTTTAGGGTTTAGGGTTTAGGGTTGGGGGTCTTCCTCCTCTTCTTTGCTTTTTTTGGGGGGTTTTGGTCTTTAGGGTCAGGGTCTTGGGTTAAGGTTTACCCACAAGAGTCACTCGGTTTAGGGTTTGGGGGTTTAGGGTTTTGGGGGGGTGTTCCAAGGTTGCCCCGGGGCTCTGCGGGAGAGGGGAGGGTTCCATGTGCAGGGGTTTAGGGTCGGCTCCGTCATTGGTGCTGCTTTGGGAGTTAGAGTTTTGGTGTCTACTGGGTTCTTGCGCCGTGACCATCTCCTGCATTTGGCCTAGGCTTCGAGGCGATCACAACTCCCGCCGAGCTGCTGAAGGCGTTCAAGAGATACAGGCCGCTGTTTTTCCCACGGACCAGCACACCACTCCCTGCAGCTGTGGACGCTGGCCTCGTGGTGAATGTCAGGGACCCTTGCCTGCAACAACAGCGCGCCACATCTGGCGACAATCTTCAAGCCAGACGCAGTCATGAAGATGAGTCCTTCCATCATGGACTCCCAAACCCTAAACCCTAAACCCTAAACCCTAAATCGGATCCTAAACCCTAAGCCCTAAACCCTAAACCCTAAACCCTGAGGCCGGAAGTTTCCCGGAAGAATGCTGGCGACTCTTGGGGGTTTCTTTGCCCTGCAGAGAGTCAAGCCGAGGATGACCAGGCCGACCTCGCCCTCGGCGTGAATGAGTCTTACAATCTGGACTGGGACATGCAATGATGTATTTATATACATATATAAATATATGCATATATACATAATTAAATATATACATATATATGCACAATAAATAAATAAATATATATATATATATACGTATATATATATATATATATATATATATATATATACATATATCTTTTCATCGCATTATATTTATTGTTATGGCATAGGATTTTATGTATATTCTATGTTATAGAAAGGACTACATGTCTGTGAGGAGCTGGCATGACCTGTGAGGGCATCGCTCTTTCCTTACACAAGCCGTTTTTAACACGTTCGCCCGTTGGCGAATAGAATTTCTTCCTACACGTAGATTGTGACAACCTCTGGGAGATGGCACGCCTGATTTGACTTGAGCATTTGGGCTGCACATCCTTGCCGAGGGCAAGATGCGACAGACGCGCAGGATGTAAACATCGATGGAACTGCGGTGATCACCGCTGAGACCGTGTGGGGCGCTCTGCGCGGTCTGGAGACGCTTTCCCAGCTGATCGTCTTCAACTTCACCACAGGAGCGACCTGAAACCCAAAAGACCCTGAAGCCATAGATTGTTAAGACAAGACTCACAATTGGAGGTTCCCCAAATACTAAAATTCACTTTGCAGCTTCAGAACGTGCGATAACTTGTTAGCATGCTTTAGCGAAGGGGTTTAACAACAGGGCAAGGGGATTTCTGCTGGAAAGTTGCAAGATCCGACTGAAGATGCGGAGCCACAGCAGCAGCAGTTTCGAGGAAGTGGCTTTACATGACGGAAGCCCGACTTCAGAGATTCTGCCCAAACCGTTCCTCTAGGATCTGCTGTTTGGGGCCTGGTTTGAGGCTTTGGGGAGTAGTTGAAATTTGGGAATTACCCTAAACCCTAAACCCTAAACCCTAAACCCTAAACCCTAAACCCTAGACCCTAGACCCTAGACCCTAGACCCTAGACCCTAGACCCTAAACCCTAACCCTATACTAACCCTAAGGGGCACCAAAAGCCTGCACCCCCAGCTCCAGGGCAGTATTCCATCTCGGGCCTACCGCTGCACATCGAGGATGCCCCGCGCTTCCCGCTCCCGGGCCTTCATGAGAGGGTTTCGGGGTTTAGGGTTTCGGGGTTTAGGGCTTAGGGTTTCGGATCTCGATCTTAGACTTAGGGTTAGGGTTTAGGACTCACTCTTCAAAAGGTTTCTCGGGTGCTCGAAGCCTAGCAGCGACGTGGATGCCTCCCGAAGCAACGTAACAACAAAACAAACACTAAATGAGAATACCAAGCCCCAACGAAACCAGGAAAGGGAGCTCCAAGACTTTCGGCTCGAACGCTTGGTATCGAACGCTTGGTACACCCTAACCTCCATGTACCAACGCGACAAGATTGTCCTGCGGCTGCGTAAGTAGTTGCCTCATCGGAGGTGCTTTCCAAGGTAGCTTTTGAATGTTAGCAAGCAAGAAGAACGTTGTCAGGAAAACGCGGCATTGTATGCAAAACGACCGGCCGGTGTAAGATGCAACACCCCCGGCGGGTAGCCTTGTATACGGTCCACAACTGGGGTTCAGGACGCTGTGAACCAACGAAGCTTTTGGAGATTTTTAATGTAATGGTTCAGGGCCAAAGTTTAGGGCTTCAGGGTGTGGAATGTGTGTTTGGTGGTGTGGCGATCTGTTTTTTGTGTTTAGTTTTATTTGTGTTGTAAGGGGTGGAGGCCTTGGGATTTCTGCCGGAGTCATGGATCCAAGTTAGGAGGCCCCAATAAGTCTGAAGAGAGTCTCATTTGGACCTTGGGTAGGGGGGGGGGGGGTTGTGAAAGGCGTTGGGTAGTGCAGGACCCTAATGTTAAGCCCTGCTCCCTGCAGTGCAGGTTGGGATGTTACCCCTTATACGAACAGTCCTTAATAGGGATTCATCCTAGTGCCCCCTACTTTTATCCCTATGAAGGACTGTTAGTATAAGGGGCAACATCCCAAGAGGAAGTATAGGATCGACCCCTAAACCCTAAACCCTAAACCCTAAACCCTAAACCCTAAACCCTAAACCCTAAACCCTAAACCCTAACCCTAAACCCTAAACCCTAAACCCTAAACCCTAAACCCTAAACCCTAAACCCTAAACCCTAAACCCTAAACCCTAAACCCTAAACCCTAAACCCTAAACCCTAAACCCTAAACCCTAAACCCTAAACCCTAAAACCCTAAACCCTAAACCCTAAACCCTAAAACCCTAAAACCCTAAACCCTAAACCCTAAACCCTAAACCCTAAAACCCTAAACCCTAAAAAGGCACCGTGGGCTCCTGATCGATTCGGGCCGCCACTTCGAGCCCGTCGCCCAGGCATGAAGCCCCCTAATATCGGCCCCCCAAAATAGTAGGATTCCCTTATGACAAGGTTCCCTAGAAAGGGTTTAGGGTTTAGGGTTTAGGGTTTAGGGTTTAAGGGTTTAGGGTTTAGGGTTTAGGGTTAATATCGTAAATCCGACGCTTTTGGGGGGCTCATGGTTCCGGGGCTTGGGGGCCTGGGGCTTTGTTTTTTCTCTTGTGCTTGATCGTTTTTCGTTTTGGATGTTCCCCGGTATGCTAAGAGTCCTGAATGGGGAATATAATGGGGGGGGGGGGGTACTTAAATTCCTATTAGGCACTGTTAGTATGAGGGCGCACATCCCAAATTTTGGTGTTTGACTGATTTACTACAAGGGAGCGGTGTTTAGGATGAGGGTTTATGAAGCAAAATGGACATAGTCCGCCCGTTTTTTTAACAAGGAGGCTTTCCCTTTCAACGGTTCGAGGCCCGCCAAAGCTCATGTTTCATCATCACCATCAGAACGTGGGATTTGCCTCCCCAATACAAAACAAAATAATCATACAACTAGCATTCATAGCCATAACACAAGGGTTTAATTGATAATTCGGAAAAAAAGATGATGATGGTGATGATGGGTGATGCTAGTGATGGTGGTGATGTTGGCGATGATGTTGATGACGATGAGACGATGATGGCGACGGTGAAGGCGATGGTGACGGCAATGGCTGCCGCAGCGCTGATGATGGTGGCGAGTAGTTCGAGGATCGGGGGGCCCCATAGCAAGTATGTACCGACGTAACGTTATAAGTGCCCCGAAAGGGACCCCCAAGGGGCAACCATACTCAAGTCACAACCCTAACCCTAAACCCTAAACCCTAAGCCCTAAGCCCTAAACCCTAAACCCTAAACCCTAAACCCTAAACCCTAAACCCTAAACCCTACTTCAGAACTACTTACAAAGTCCTCCGATCCTCCCGAAGCCCTAAACCGCGGTAATGTTCCATCGTGCGCGGGTGAAGGTGAAGGCCCTGCTCGACTCCATGCAGTATCCTGGGAGCTGAGTATCACTTGCCTTTTGCTTGGGTTCTGGATTCCCTTGCAAGAAGTCCCCAAATTCCCCAAAAAGGAACCCTTTTTTGGTACCCGGGTAACCCTATGGTAATATGGTTGCTGGGCGACCCAAGGTACGCCAAGTTCAACGTGCTGCACTGGCACCTGACGGAGGACGGGGGGCCGTCTTGGGGATGAGAACCCTGAATCTGTAGGCCCTGAATCCTAGAGCATCTGAAAGCCCAATCCGACACCTGCAAGCAACCCTTAGTAGTCTAAACCCTAAACCCTAAACCCTAAACCCTAAACCTTAAACCCTAAACCCTAAACCCTAAACCCCCTAAAGAAACCCCCGCCATGTCCTGCACCTCGGACCCCCCCAAGGACCAGTCCTTCCCCATCGCCAGCCGCTCCTTCCCGGAGTTGCCGCAGCACGGGGCCTACAGCGACCAGGAGCAGCCGCCTGGCCCGCGAGGTTGGCAGCTCCTGGTTGTGTTTTTTTTTTTTTTTCTGTTTTTTAGCTCCCGTTTTTTTCTTTTTTTTCAGAATATTTTCTGTTCCGGGTGGCTCTTGGGTTTCAAAAACGTTTTCTCAGGGCCGCGAGGTCCAAGTAGCTAAACCCTGAACCCCAAACCATGAAAGTTAGGGCCCAGGGATGCGGTGCAAATGCGGACCCCTCCCACCCCCCCTCAAAAAACACAACAAACATATAACATGGTAAAAAGAGGGACCTGTTTTAGAATGATAAACGCTTCAAGCCGACCCAGGTACACTTGGCAGGACATCAGTGAGGTCGTGCAGCGACTCGGCTTGACAATCATGACTTGAATAGGATTGCCCCAATTGGGTTTAGGGTTTAGGGTTTAGGATTTAGCGTTACCATTAGGGTTTAGGGTTTAGGGTCGCTCATACCCTTACGTTGCTCTCTTGCATGCTTGATGTTTACTGTTTTAGTAGCTTTTATTGCGTATTTATCCGCGAAAAGACGGTGGCACTTTATCTCCCTCACGCCCCCTCGCGGGCTTGCTCGCTTTCTCGCTCGCGGACTCTCTCTCCCTCTCTCACATACAGAAGTCAAGACATGGGTATTTCCCAAAATAGGGGTACCCCTATATACCCCAAATAAAATAAGGGACCCAAAATAGGTACCCTAATTTTCGGAAACCCCCACATAGCCTTCGACCTAGCTAGGTATCCCTCATGGTTTTTCTGAGGTACGCCCGGGACCGTGGCATCCGCGTCATCCCCGAGTTCGACATGCCAGGCCACTCCTCCTCCTGGAGGACGGGGGATGGGATAGGATGAGGCAGTAGGGGGGTTTTGAAGGAGTGTCCAAGATCCCAAAGCCCTCAATTAGTGGAGGGCGGTTCTACGCATTTTTTGTGTGTATGGCTGGAAATCGTGCTCTTCCCATGGCGACAGGGTTTGGGACTTCAGGGTTTGTGGGTTTAGGGGTAGAAAGGGTTTAGGTTTCAGGGCAAGGTTTATGGTTTTATTCGTAGAATCTGCCTCCAGGAACTCGCATCCAGAGATCTTCGCCGAAGGACCACTTGGAGTGTCAGCCTTTGTTCTGATGCCTCCGGGTGCTCCTCCACCACCAAGTGACACAGTTCCCTTTCCTTGGCATTAGGTTCCCTATTACAATTCCTTTAAGCAACGCCTTAAACGAGAAAGGATACCCGTTGTGTGTTCCTAAGTTACTCTTCAGCGGCCCGGCAGCGTGAGTCCAATCTACAGAGGCGGACCCTGAACATCCCTGAGCCCTAAACTCCTAAACCCCCCTGCTTGAGCAAATATAGGGGTCGGACGAACTACTAGTAGTATTCCCTTATGGCCCCTTCCATAATAACCCTCAAAAAAGCCCTATTCGAATCATTAAAACCCCTATATTACATCGATTTGCAGCTCCGTTCGGAGGATGCCTCAGCGAGACTTCTCGCGGTGCTTTCGACCCGGCGAACCGCGCCACCTTCGCTTTCCTTTTGGCGCCTCGGAATCGGCAGCACGGGAGCATGCTCAGGGCTTTGAGTTCCGTAGTTGGAGACATATCTCCAGTTCGCACAACTGCACGGCTAAAACATACCTTTCTGAGCTTCTGTTTGTGTGAGGATAACATGTTGAAGCGTCCTTTTTGACCTGAAGTTGGGGGAGAGACGTAGGGCTTTCTAGGGCAGTTAGGCTACTTGTGTGGCCAGGAGTCGTGGTTGATTGTGGTGGTTCTCAGCCCCGGACTCTGAAACCTAAATCCCAAATTGAGAAACCCTAAACCTTGTATAAACCCTAAACCCTAAGCCCTTTGGCAAAAACAAACCAGCTGTCTGTTTTCACTCGTCTAACTGTCCCAGGCCGCACTCAAGGACTGGACCAGCGGCATGTTCGTCGATGGCTTCGTTCACCTGGGAAGTGACGAGGCCTGGACGTGCAGACGAGTTGAAATGTCGGTGAGCGTTTGAAGCCCGACAAGCCCTGAAGTGAACTCTGTATGTGTGTGTGTGTATATTTATGTGTATATAGGGTTCTCTCTCTTGCGTGTGTGTATATATATATTTCTTATCTTAATATGCAATGAATAACAAAAGAAGGAGAGAAGAGGGCGAGAGAGTGAGAGAGATGAAACTGCCGGAGCAGCAGGCCGTCGTGGCCGGGTCTCCCCGCAAGGGGGGCCTCTTTGCTGTGTAGAAGAAGAAGAAGGAGAAGAAGAAGAGAGAGCGAGAGATAATATGCCTATATAAATACAGATGGACCCGCTCCCTGCCCGTTCTTGGGGGCCTGCTTCTGGCCCGCCCGTGAGGAGTGCATGAGGTGGGGCAAGGTTCCTCCCCTTTTCCCTGCCTTCCAATCTTTCCATTCTAGCCCACCGACTATGGAAGCTTCTTGGTTCTGCGAGCTCTGCAGATTAAGTTTCATTGCGTGGGCTTCATTGCTCAACGCTCTGTTCGTCTTTGACCCCTGAACCCAAGCACATTTTTAGCTGACTGCTCTCGGCAACATGCCCCCGGCATTAGTCACGCTTGGGCTGCTCCTCCAGCATCCTGAAACCCCCACTGCACCGGCCCCCCCCCCCCCCCCCCCGGCGAACTACCCACTTGCATAGCCAGTGCAGACGCTGAGTGCGACCATGCCAGACCCTATTTAAATTACTTGCTCACGTAGGCAGGAGGAAAACAAAAGACGCATTTCTGAGCGGTGGTTACTGAAGCTTACCGCTGGTCATGTTTGTGTTTGTTGTTCTTGTTGTCATGTCGTGGCTTTGGGTGTCGGTATTGATACCCCGAACTTTTGTGTCATTTTATTTTTCTGCTTATATATACATACATATATACATGTGTGTGTATACATATACATCTACACACATATATATCTATATATAATCTAGTTATTCTTTATCTTTCTTGGTGTTTGCAGGCACCCCACCTGTAGTCCAGGTCTCCGGCAGCTCCACGTAAAGAAAATGTCGGTTGTAGTCATATGGGAAGTTGGTCCTGGGGGGTAGATTTATTTATGTTTGGGTTCAAGCACGCTCCCAGAACGGTTCGGCTTTGACTTCTTTGCGTTATTTATGAACATGCAGCCGCTCTTGCGTTATTCTCACTTCTTTTGTGAGAGTCGCAGAAGATGTCCCTTGAAATGCCAGGTCCCTTCCGACTGCTGGAACAACACCAAGGACCTGGCCTGGATGACGCTCGGCTTCACTGGCCATTTATCCAATCACCAAGGCGCGCTGAACCGAAGGTTCCCAGACCAAAATTTGAGTTTTGCTTAGGGGTTTAAGAGTTTAGGGTTTAGGATTAAGGGTTTAGGGTTTAGGGGGTTTAGAGTTTAGTGTACAAGGGGCCTGTGTGTAGCACTCCAGGAGCAACTTGATACGTGACACCCGTATCAGCGTGTCATGAGGCCTGCCGGATCTTTGAAGCTCGACCCCTGGGATTTAAGCCCGAAGCCCAAATCCTGGTCAGTTTAGAGTTTAGGGTTCAGGGAGTTTAGGGAGTTTAGGGTTTGGAGTTTAGGGCTTAAGGCTTCCTACCCCACACGGGATGTCGCAGATCTGAGCGCAGGAAGCCGCCAAGCCCAACATCTTGCAAAGTTGGCATCCCAACAGAAATCTTGTACCCACATCTTGCAGCTTTCCCAAGAACCTTGCTAGCCCAGTGGTACCCTTTACACTTTTTTGGGGTTCCGGGTTCACTCATTACCCTTATGATAAGATGGTTACTTGGCTACCAACGAACCCTAAACCCCCACACCCTGAACCCTACACCCCCATCGATCCAAAGGAGAAGCCAGGGCCTGGCGAACTTTACAGAGGCCGCCCTGCAAACCCAACCAACCTTATAGGGTGGATAAGGGAGGGGAATTCAATGAAGGTTCCCTAAGGCTGGACTCAAAGGTTTAGCGTTTAGGGTTTGGGGTTTAGGATTTGGGGTGCTGGGGCGCTCCTCCCCACTACTCCCTGAGGCTCCCCGAAGGCTCCCTAAGCTTCCCTAGCTGTAAGTCCCTTTGAACCCTCAAGCCTAGAAATGCCTGGCGTTTTTGGGGGGTGCTGGGGCTTCGTGGGTATAGGGGCTCTTGCGACGGGCTGAGCTTCCAGATGTTGCCCACCACGTCAGCACAGATCAGGCAGCAGCTCTCATGCGTTTGAAAGCGAACCCTGGGAAATGCCTCCACACCTTCGTTCTATTTTGCCGATGTTCTCTTTTCTAGTGTTTAGGTTTTCTGATGAGCCCCTTTAAACCAAAAAGGGCACCCTTGGTAGCAGGATGTGCAATGGACGGTCTTTGATTTGCATGTCCGAAGAAGCTGCAAGGCGATCGCAGGCAGGGACCACTACACAAAACTGCCTTTAGCTTGTGGTCCGACTGGTGAACATAAATGGGGTTTACGATTCTGGGGGCACCTTATTGGGATCCTTACTATAAAGAGATCCTACTATTGGGGGTCTAGAACAAGGGTCCCTTATTTTCGTAAGCCCCCAAATAGTCTTTTGCTAGGTGTCCCAAAACTGCAAAGTTTCCTTTTCGGAGGTCTTCGACTATTTTGTGAACCAGATGGTTCTGATGGCTAAGAAGCTGGGGAAGCAGACCATCCTCTGGGACGACACTCATCGTGAATTTTGGGGGTTGACTAAGCACATGCTGTAAGGTGGATAGAGAGCGTTGTTGTCCACATCCGCTATGATTTGCAAGCCGCAACCGACACAGTCTCTCATTCCTGCAGAAACTGTACTTGCCTACTTGTTGCAGCCACAGGCCAGAGGCAAATATCCAGCTTATTGACTGAAGGAGGCGCGTTTTTGTTCTTATCCCTGCAGTTGCCACGCCGACGGAGGGTTGTCTCACGCCCGCCTGCACATCTACAGCACCATCCGAGCATCGACCGTTTTTAAAGGACTCTTACTCTTTGCTCATGGCAGACCTGAGGAAGCCTTCATGTCCGCGAAGCCGCCAAAGGACATTTGGGAGAGCTGGGTGAGATGTCGATTTGGGCATTTACCAGAAAAGGGGTACCTCGTTTAGACCTCAGAAAGAGTAGAAGCCCTGCAAAGGGACCCCCAAAAAAGGGAACCCCCCCCCCCCCATTTTCGAAAGCCCAGGGTTATTGAACCTCGAGCAGGAACATCGCAATCCTATAGGTCAATATCATCAGCGTGCCCTTGCCCGTGAATTCGCAGACTTCAACATAGCTTGTGCTATCAGCACATGGACTCCCCCAGGGTCCCAGTGCCTTTCGCCCGCCGTTTTTTTTGCCAATGGCGCGCTGAATACTGCAGCACACGCCGTCTTCGCTGCTACATGTGAGGTAGATGCATCGAAGGCACAGTACTAAGTAGTCGCTCATACTGAGGGAAGGCGGGGAGTAGACGATTCCGGGGTCCAAAGACCAGCCTGCTCGACAGCCTTTCATCTCTTCCCTGGCCAGCTCGCAGTTTCCCATTTTAGGGTTTAGGGTTTAGGTGTGGCATATGGAGACCCAAGAGTTCGCGTAGCTCCTCCTGCAGGCAGTTTCGAGGTTTCAGAGGCCGCACCCTGCGCTGCTAGGAGGCAGTGATCCAGAATTGGCACGATTCGAAGCTCATGCAGCAGATCGTCAATGCAGGCCTGTGATGTTGAATGTCCCTGTTCTCGGAGCCCCTTAACAGTGGTGATGCGTGGCCTGACGCGGCCCTGCTGTTTGGTATGCTTCGGTAGATCCCTCCCTGAAGTGGAGACCCAGTTTGATCCTGATATCTACGCTGCGTATCACTGAAACCAGAGCCTTTGCAGGTTACCGTGCTCTCCTGTCCAACGGACTCTTTGCTGCACCAGAAATACGACTGGCATCTCACACAGCTACACCTGTGGCGGCCAAAACTCAGCGGGCGAATGTCGACCCCAAACCATATGGCAAAGGGCATCGGGCATTCCATCCGGGGCCCCTCCCTCGGCACCCAGACCCCAAGGGCGATTGATTACCGAGGATGGTATCTCGACCATCTCAAAACGACATGGGAGAGCATGTACGCAACGCTGCCGCAAGTGAGACGTTTTGCAAGCAGTGGCGGTGTCGGTGTCTGCGGGGTGCAGTTTTATCCCTGTCAAGGGATGTCACACGCTGCAGCCATCAGCGAGCAATCAGTAGATCAATCTTCGTGGTTTCTTTGTTAATGTAGGGGTCGGAATATTCCTTGTGGCCCCTTTATCCCTTTATACATATACCATAGTAACCCCCGTCCCCCCCCCCCCCCCCCCCACAAAAAATATAATATATATATATATATATATATATACATATATATATAATAATAATATATATATATATATATATATATATATTCTGATTGTTCAGGCCCCTATAGCAAGCTCTGTCATGACCTGCCCCACGATGAGGCGATGGACCCCCAGTTCAACATCAGCCAGGACAAGGCCCACCTCGTCCTCGGCGGCGAGGGCTGCATGTGGGGCGAGACGGTGGCACCCTGGGCTTAAACAACCCAGGACCCTATAGGGTTTAGGGTTAGGGTTTAGGGTTTAGGGTTTAGGGTTTAGGGTTTAGGGTTCAGGGTTTAGGGTTTTCCCCAAACCCTAAGCAGCAGAGGGCTGCATGTGCCCTGGGCTTCCAAGCAGTCCCGTTCCCCCAGTTCCCCCAAGTTCCCCCCCCCCCCCCCAGGCTTTGTCAGAGGTCAGACCTTTCGATGGTGTCAGCAAGCTTCACAAGGTCCCAGGTCACAAGCCACAGAGCAAGTATGAAATTCGCCTGGCGTGCGAACGTCGTGCTTTCCGTTCTTAGGCTTCAGGGGTTCAGGGACTGAGGGTAAACGGAATCCGGCAACAACGAAGCCCTAAACGACCTCATTCCTCTAAGTCAACCCCCAAACCCTAAACCCTGTGGAGGACGGTCCCAGGGTCATCACTAGCCCTACTTTTCACTACCCATAGAAACTTCAAGTAGACCCAACTAACCCTACAAACCCTAATTAGACCCTCTACACTCTACACCCCCTAACCTTAGTAACCCTAAACCCTTAACCCTAAACCCTAAACCCTAAACCCTAAACCCTAAACCCTAAACCCTAAACCCTAAACCCTAAACCCTAAACCCTAAACCCCAGGCCGGGTGACACTCCGCAATCCGAGGATCCTTCCGACATGGAGTCGACCATCTGGCCCAGGGCGGCGGCCATTGCAGAGCGGCTTTGGAGTTCTGCAGGACGGGCCGTCTTTTTGAAGGGTTTAGGCGGTTTAGGGTTCAGGGTTTCGGGTTTAGGGTTTTAGGGTTTAGGGTATTTCGGGTTTGGAGTTTACCTCCAGCTACAGGCACGCCTAGGCGTGAGCAGTGAAGACGATCACGCCTAGCCGAGAGTGTGTTTGCCAGCTAATATAGCAGCCACGCCTGGGCACTAGCAGTGAAGAGGACCGGCGGACCCGAGCCACACCTTTCAAAAAAGGAGGCGAGCCACACCTTTCAAACCAAAAGCCCTCCGCCGCTTTCACGAGATGAAAAGCACCTCTTGTCGGAAGCTGCTCTTCGAATACCTTGGATCCAGTGATCCAACGTCGGCGCCTGAAGCACAGGTGCAAACTCGACGGAGGAGGCTGAGCCGCGCCTCCTTGCTTTCAGGCCCACAGGGCCACTTGCAAGTTGGGGGGGGCTTATAGGGCTTAGGGTTCCATAGTGCTCTAAGGGTAGTTTCACGGGCTCTTAAAATTTGCATAGGGTATACAAGGGGCTTCGGATTCACTTGTTTAGGGTCTGCAACTTTCGGAGATCAAGTTATTCGAAGGGCGCGCGGTTCACGTCCTTACGGCATCGGCTTTTACATTGAGGGGGTTGGGGGTTCAGAAAGTCGAGAAGCTGGTGGCAACTCAGCTCTTCAGCCGTCCACCTGTTTTCTGGGGGTTGGTCAAAAAATGTTTGGCCTTTGGGGTTTGTTTGGGGTTTAGGGATGTTTTAGGGTTTATAGGTGCCCAATCAGGGAAAGACTTCGGATCAAGCCTCCGGTGCTCGACCTATGAAGCCCTCCATTAGAAAAGAGGTGTATGTTTTGGGGGTCCTGCAATGGGAAAACCAGAAAACCTAAACCCCTCAAAGCCCTAGACCCCCAAGTGCCCCAAAAAACCCAAGTGACTCTACCAAGCCCTTAAAACCCCAAAGAAACACAAGCAAGACTTAGTTTTTTGCCTAAAAACACCAAAGGCCCTAAAAATCCTAAACAACCGTAGCAAACCCTAAAAACCAAAGACACCTAGCATTTTACCCTCAAAGCCCTCAACAACCCTACCAAACCCTAAAGCCCCAAAGATACCGAACATGTTGCCTAAAAACCTGGAAATCCTATAGATAGAATGATACCTACATACTGAAGAAATAGAATGACACCTATATAAGATGTTGCCTAAAACCCTAAAACCCTAAACCCTAAACTCAAGCTCCGTATCAGCTCGGAGCCTTGGTGCAAGGTGCATGCTACTGGCGCGGGGGGTGCGCACCGGCTTGGTGGGCCAAGCCGAGGTTAAGGAGTCCGGGGCGTGTCGCAAGGGATTTTGGGGGTTTGGGGGGGTTCGGGGTTTAGGGTTTAGGGCTAGGGTTTAGGGTTTTTGGGTTTGGGGTTTTTGGGTTTTAGATTTGTTTAGATGGTTGAGTTACAAGGCTTCAGGCATCCAACTTCTTCGGTGGCTTGGTCACGAGGGCTCCGGAGTTCAAGGTCGTCATGCCCCGTGAGCTCAAGGTCTAGTGGGACCCAAAACAAAGTCCTAAGTCCTAAGTCAAAGCCCTGCAAAGCAGCCCTAAACCCCAACCCCAAACCCTAGAACCTAAACCCTCAGCACACGTTAAGCTTCGGTCAACCCTAGAAGCCCCAAACCCTATAAACCCTCAACCCTACAAAGCCTAGAAGCCCTAAACCCTATAAACCCTCAACCCTATGAACCCTAAACCCCAAACCTCCTACCCAGAGCCCTGGAAGCACTCAAGGTGGGCGGTCCGGGACGCGGGGCGCCACCCGGGCCCGGCGCGTGCTCTCAGCTGGGCAAGGAGTGGGCGCCGCAGCAGGGTTTGGTTTAGGGTTTAGGGTTTAGGGTTTAGGGTTTAGGGTTTAGGGTTTAGGGTTTAGGGTTTAGGGTTTAGGGTTTAGGGTTTAGGGTTTAGGGTTTAGGGTTTAGGGTTTCCATGTTTCTGTAAGTTTACTCTTTACAGGCTATTTAGAGTTTAGGGTTTTCAGGTTTTTTTGGGGTTTAGGGCCGGGTTTAGGGATAGAGGCGGATAGAGTGAGGGCTTATGGGTTTTTTGGGCCCATAGGTCCTAGGCTTTGGGGATGAGGGTTGTGAGTTCCTTAAAACCATGAACTCGAAGCCCTCACTGGCCCCAAGATGCCTGGACCCTAAACCCTAAACCCTAAACCCCAAACCCTAAACCCTAAACCCTAAACCCTAAACTGCAAGGCAGAGGGTTCCAAGAGACCCGACGATGCCCGGACAGGACTTCCCCTACGAAGTCGACTTCACTCCCAAGAGGGCTCTGGTCAAGGCTGGGGGTGCTGCGGCGCATGCCTTTAGGGTTTAGGGTTTAGGGTTTAGGGTTTAGGGTTTAGGGTTTAGGGTTTAGGGTTTGGGGTTAAGAAGTTTAGGGTTTAGGGTTTTGGGTTAAGAAGTTTAGGGTTTCGGGTTTCGGGTTAAGAAGGTTTAGGGTTGCGGGTTTCGGGTTAAGAAGGTTTAGGGTTTCGGGTTTCGGGTTAAGAAGGTTTAGGGTTTCGGGTTTCGGGTTAGAAGCTTAAGGGTTTGGGGTTGGGGTTCAGGGTTCAGGGTTCAGGGTTCAGGGTTCAGGGTTCAGGGTTCAGGGTTCAGGGTTCAGGGTTCAGGGTTCAGGGTTTAGGGTTTAGGGTTTAGGGTTTAGGGTTTAGGGTTTAGGGTTTAGGGCTTAGGGTTTAGGGTTTAGGGTTTAGATCATCACCAATCCCCACGAGCCGCTGTCTCCCGCTAGACCCCCCTAATCCTCAAGTAGGGGGCTTATAAGTACAGTTCTCATTGGGGGTTATAAGTACCCTGGACCGCCAAGTAGAGGTCCTGCAGGCATTGCCAGGCATGTCCTTTGATGAGGATGCCCCAATTGAACTGCCCTCAGCCCAGGAGGGCGAGACGCCACCTCTCTTAAGGAAAAGGGGTTCTAGGGGCCCTTAATCTTGTTCCCCTATATGGCCCTATAGAACCCCTACTGCTACCTTGTGCAGCCCCTACATACCCCTAAATAACCCTTAAGGGTCCCTCCTTGAGTCCCTTGACTCTCGGGCCGCCGTATCTGGCCCTGCAAGCCATGCATCGTCCACACCTTGGCAGGTTAGATCGCCAAGCTATGAATCTAGGACCTCTTCCCTTTTTAAGGGTTCAGGACCCCGTCTAATCCCTTTTAAACCAAGAAGGGCAGCCTTTTTGTAAATAGGTTACTCTTGGGTCTAGCAATGCTGCACCATTGCAGCTGTAAGTGTCAGTGGTCCTGCGAATTCAAAAAGCCTCCTGGCCTCAGCCCCTGAACAACTAAACACTGAAACCCTACCCGAAGGTTCACGGGTAGCTAAGTACCTCCATGAAAGTTATACTGCAGGATACCCTATTCAGAACCCTACTTGTAAGCAGGTATTGAAACCTTAAACTGCCTGAAACCCTCACTTGCGAGGCAGGGAGCTTCCAAGGGACCCAAAGACTCCTGCACAGGACCTCCCGTACGAAGTCGACTTCGCTGCCAAGACAGAAGGCGTACGTTTGAGGCGCTTCTGGGTTGTAAAGGTGTTGTGGTGCTTTGCGGCCTTGTGGCTTTGGGGCCTCAGCAAAGGGTGTGTTTTGCGCTTTTTGGGGGGGTAAAGAATTGAAGACTGATCTGCCCGTCAGGCTGGAAGTCGAGGTGCTTCACGTTTAGTCGTGGAGAGTGAGAGCGGTGGTGTCCGTTTGGGACGCGCTGCACAACCAGAAAAATGGCGCCTGCAGCTCTTGCTTGATCTTTGAGGATGCATTGGAGTTGATGTGCAAGTTTCCCCTGCCATGATCGGTCGCCCTAAGCCCAAAGTTGAAGCCTAAACCAAAACCCTAAACCCTAAACCCCTGGTCTTGCAATGGAGTCGGAGAATGCGTGCTCGCTAAGTTAGTGCACGCTTGTTTCGAGCTGCTGTGAGGGAAGCTCCGAGAGTGGCTGGGGACGTGGAGGCCCGCAGAACGGCAAGTCCCGGACTCCAACTCACATGAAGCAGGGTTTACATTGCTGTTATTGGTGAGTGTATAAGGTTCCATTTTAATATTGGTGAGTGTATGTACTTGGTGTCCTATTGGGGATACAAGGAATATGAACCCTGCTTCAATCAGCTTTGTCGATTTAGGGTTGTTTGGGGTCATGTTGGGGTGCATTGGGAGAAGTGAGGGGTTGTCTCGTGCTGGAGGATGGCTTATCTTAGAAGCTCATCGACTGACAGACTGTGGGCCAGGACGAGTTCTTCCGCCTCACTGGCATCAGGCCGTTCAACGTGAACTTTCCACGTTGTCTAGCGCAGTGTGAAACATGCGACCGCGAATAAATAGGTATGTAAAACATATGGATATACATGGGGCGTAGACATAGACATGGACATAGACATAGACATCGACATAGACATTCACATATGTATACATACATACATACATACATACATACATACATACATACATACATACATACATACATACATACATACATACATACATACATACATACATACATACGCACACACACACATACATATCATATATGTATATATGTATATGCATATATACACATGTCAACTGTGAAGTCGACCAGCACTGGACTTGCACTAAGCCAATGCAATCACAGCCCGGTCACGCTGTTTTACGACTTCGTGAGTCCAAGCACTTGTGCAGCTACGCCTGAGTGCGTCCGGTCGGACCGCACAGCAACCTAGGAGCTACTGTACGACTCTACCGTGCTCAAAGGCACAAGCTCGGTACTTGAGCCAAAATATTGGCATTGATACGAATTGCAAATCTACACATGCAAAGGAAAACTACAGTACTGGTTCTGGCAGCTCTGCACATGGAACGTGCGTGCTTAGACCTGCTCACATTCGCCCCTCAGCCGAGGCTTCCAGCTCATCTCGAGCTCGGAGTGCAGCAAGCACTCGCGCTGAACCCAGAAAGGGAAGGGCGAGGGTGTCGCGCGCGACCATGGTGGTCCGCACATCATGAGCATTGGCATGCGGCAGGGACGCTAGCCCGCACCACCACAACGAACGCACGACGACAGCAACCCTCAGCAGCCCTTAACCACCCTTTCCCAGGAGGTCCTCACCCTTTTGCTGGTGGGCGAGGCTCTTGAATCCTCGAGCTGGTCTCTAGCTGCCAGTACGCAGACTAGGGTACAAACTATGGTACACTGTACACTTCCGGTCCTAAGCTACGGCTACGGCTACTCACCTATCTGGAACTACCCTACGGGCTACCGGACTCAGCGAGAGCCGCGCACATGGCTTGTGCCGCAGGCAATGCAGCTCACACGCGCTTCGGCGAGCGCATTGCCGCGACCAGGACACGGTCCGCAGCACCTGCAAAAGAGCACCCTCAGCACGAGGGGCCACAGGCAGGGCGGAGGAGAAAGGTGCGGGGAATGCAAAATGGGCAGGTTTCCAACCTGCCGCGGCTT